TAGATCACCTGAAACTAACACATTTTAAATCAACTATACTCCAATCCTATGAATAGAGGTGCCTTGTGAGCTAGAGTTTGTGGGGTCAAAAAGAATCAGACATGACTGAGCGACTGAGAGCAGATACACCAATAAATCTTTTTTTAAAAGACTGAATGTTATGCAAACTGTAGTCCACAAGTGAATTACTGGAGTTTGTTTCACACTGAGAAAGGGAGACTCCATGACATGAGAGATTTACTTTTAAATAAAATTACTTTTATTTTTAAAAAAAAATTTAACACGTACAGTGATGTCAGCAAAATGGTGAGCTGGAAAGTGCTGAATTTTCCCATGGAAAGGTAAGAAAAGAAACAAAAATTATGTGAAAAATCTCTTAGGAACTTTGGGAAAGAATCAAGCAAATATCTTCAGAAATAAAGTGAGCATGTAATGAAGAGAAATCCAGAAAAGAGTGGAAGGATAATTTCTTGCATGTTTCTTTAAAAATATTTTTTAGTTCTTTTAATTGGAGAATAATTGCTTTACAATGTTGTGTGAATCAGTTGTAAGTGTACATATATCCCTTCCCTCTTGAGCTTTCCTCCCACACCCTTATCCCACCCTCTAGGTCATCACAGAGCACTGAGCTGAGCTCTCTGTGCTATTCAGCAGCTTCCCACTAGATATTTTACACGTGGTAGTGTATATATGTCAATGCTACTCTCAGTTCATCCTGCCACCTCTTCCCCCATGGTGTCCACAGGTGCATTTTCTAAGTTCGCGTCTCTATTCTATGATTTTCTTGTGTTTTAATTCACACTCATCTCTCCCCTGACTTGTACAGTGGAGTCTTGATCTGTAAAGGGTGGCAGCTCAGCTCTGTGCTGCCTCCCTCAAACCAGAGTGATCGCAGAAATCCTTATGTGCAATGTTCAAACCTATGTAGGAGCTGCCTGGAGACTGGTGTCTGTTCCACTTAACTCTGAGCTTAATGTGAAGAGCATCTGGAATGTCTATTACAAGTACAGAATTCTGCCTTTAGAATTTTCTATTTTTAACTTTTGCCATTTTAATTATGATGTGTCTTGGTGCGGGCCTCTTTGGTTTCATCTTTCTTGGGACCCTCTGTTCTTCCTACACCTGGATATCTTTTACCCTTCTCAGGTTTGGAGATCTTTCTACCATAATTTCATCAAATATGTTTGCTGCATCTGTCTTTTTTTTCTCTTTCTAAGACCTCTATAATGTAAATGCTAGTGCACTTGATGTTATCCTAGAGATCCCTTAAGTTATTCTCATGAAAAAATTTTTATTCTTTATTGCTATTCTTATTGAGTGATTTCCACTATTTCTGTCTCCCAGGTTGCTAATGCATTCTCCTGTATCACCTAACCTCTTGCTGATTCCTTCTGGTGTATTTGTTACTATGTATTTGTTACTATGTTCTTCAGCTCTGATCAAGTCTTTTTAATATTTTCTAGTTCTTTGAAGTTCTCATTATATTCCTCTATTACACACATTCAGTAGGAACCTTTATTACTATTGTTTTGAGTTTTCTTCAGGTAAAGTATTTATCTCTCTTTCAATAGGTTAGTTTGGGTTTTTTTTATAATGAGGTTTTATCTTGGTCTTTCACTTGGGATGTGTGTGTGTGTTTCTTCTAATCTGTTTAGTTTTTACTGTTTGTCTCTATGAGGTTAAGCAGTTACCTAGTCCTGGGCTTCCCTTGTAGCTCTGTAAGTAAGAATCTGCCTGCAGTGCAGGAGACCCAGGTTCGATCCCTGGTTTGAGAAGATTCCCTGGAGAAGCAAATGGCGAACCACTCCAGTTTCATTGCCTGGAAAATCTCATGGACAAAGGAGCCTGGTGGGCTGCAGTCCATGGGGTCGCAAAGAGTTGGTCATGATTGAGCGACTAACACTTACGTACTTAGTCCAAAGTCTAAAGGGGTGTCTCTTGTGTGGGACACCCCACCCAGGGTGTCTCTGCATGGCCTGCCAGTGACCAGTGACTTTGGTGAGTGAGCAGGATTGGAGGCCATGTCTCCCCAAGGTGAGCTGGCAGCTGCTATTTCCATGGGAGATAGGACTGGAATCAGGATGAGACAAAGATGAGCTGAGGCTTCTTCTGGGCTTAACGGTGACTGGTGACCTGTTGGGGACAGGACTGGGGCTGGAGACACACTTCTGAGTTGGCCCCACTTTCCCCAGTGCCTGTGATGGCTGATGGCCTCTCCCCCTCAGTAGGCATCAGTGCCAAGCAAGAGTGGCTGGAGGGGGATGGCCTTTTCTGAGGTGGTCCTCCAGGCTGGTCGGAGCATCGAGCAGTGCCAGTCAGCTGCCCCATGGACTTGAAAGCAGTCACGTGTGCACATGCTCTTGCAAAGTGGAGTCTTGGCTCCTTGCATCCTTTGGTAAAGCCCCACAAGGTTTCAAATGAGTTGAGGGGGCTCATCTTCTGAGGACCAGTCCTCAGACCTGGGGCGCCTAACATGGGTCTTATACCCCTTGATCTTTAAGGACAGTCTCTGAGCCTGTTGGTACTTCTCCTCTTCTGTGTCACCTGCTAGGGGTGTGGGTCCTGACTAGATTTCTTCTCCTACCTGCCAGTTATACTCAGTGAGGTTCTTTCTTGATGGCCTCAGGTGTAGAAGAGCCAATACTCTTCTGCTACTCTTCAAATTTTTTGCAGCAAGAGTTACTCTATATATAGTGGTATTTTTTTTTCTTTTTTTGTTGCACAGCTCAGCTTGGGGAATCTAGTTAAACAGCTAGGGATCAAATCTATGCCCCCTGCAGTGGAAGCATGGATTCTTAACCACTGGACCACCAGGGAAGTCTCCAACTCTGCCTTTTAATCCCCTCCCAAGTATCCTCATTTTGAAGTCTTTATTATTTCACATACACAAAAAGCAAGAAGGCTTAAACTAGAGACACAGCTTTTAATTAGCTCCACCAATCATAACAATTCTCTCCACACCCCAATAATCAGTAAATTCTGATAGAACCATGATGGATTGCTCACAATCAGTATTCTTCAGAAAATGGATAGTCAGGGTGATCAGCAAGGCTGAAAGAGAAAGAGGGATGTTAATTTATTAATTCTGTATCACATGGCCAAGGAGAGTGCTTCTCTGTGGATATAGCCAGGATGGCCTAAACATCTCAGTCTACAACCACATCCCACCTTCTACCCCAGGCACCCAGTCCACGTGTGAATGGTGCCTGCATGCCTGATTCTCACAGTCATAAGCAATATAAACATCACAGTGATATTTACCTTGATTGGAATTACAGTTTGTAAGAAGGTCTGAGATCTACAGCTAAAACATTAAGGTCATTTCAGCCCCAGGTGGAACATTTGGTCCTGGGTGTGATGATGATGATCTCAGTAACAACTGTGCAGATCTTTTTAACACATCCATTCAACAAGTAAGTACTGAGCACCCCCCAAAATAGAGGGCATTCCATTAAGACACTTCTGATCTCTTGAGATGTCGTGGACACATAAGCAACAATACTGATAAAGTGAGATGACTATTTTCTTAATTTACAACAGATTAAAACAGTGGTTAATTAATAGTTAGTATTACTGATGCTTTCCTTTTCCCCTATGTTTTTACTTTTCTTCCTAAATTCATTCCTTTCCATTTATTTCATTAAAGAGTACATTCTGAGTGATTCCATATGCCAAGAGTTATGATTTTGACCTAAACCCGTTAACATGAGTAAGTCCAGGCACTGACAGCCTGAGGAAGGTGAACAGAGAAGTATACTGAAAAGTTTTTGAGTACAGAAAAGTAAATTTCCATCTTTTTGTTTTATTTGTAATATCTTTTTTTCAGAAATCATGATATAGCTTTAGAAACAGGAGACAAAGTTTTGACATCTTTCATTTAAAACTAAATCTTCCCTTTACTAATAATTTGCATTACCTTCTCTCTAAACTCTCTTCTAATTTCTCTGTTTGATTAGCCTTCTTTCTCTTCAATCCTGACATCCTCCTGCAGTAATTAGGCAGCTGGAATTTCATGTTAGTGACTAAGTCAAAGTCAAGGAGTTAGGGGTTCCCTAGGGGATGATCCCTGATGAACAAAGGCAACACTGGAGTAAGTCTTGACTCAAGAAACCAGAGAGACCCAGAAGATCTTACCTGGGTGTGTCCTGCTAAGGACATGGCCATCACTCACTGGAGGATCAATTAAGCTCATGATCTCCTTGTAACTCAGTTTTGTGAGATTATAAGGATGAGGACATGGGATTTGTAATAGGGGGAAAAGGTCAATAGAGAGGTCTTTTTGAAAGAAATGGATGGTGCCTGGTTAAGAAAGGCCCATTAGGGAGAAAATTCACCAGACACTTAGGGAAGGGGGTGGAGGCCGAGCCATGTGATCTCTCAGTACTGATGCATTTTGCCTTTCATGAGACTTTCCTCCATAAAAAATATCAACAGTATATTTTACAATTGTGTTAGGATAAACACAAATGTAGTCCAAGTTGGATTCATTATTACATAGTCATTATTAATCATTTCCTCCCAATTTTATAAAAAGTTTAAAGATAAAATATGTTCACAGGTCCCTAAAAGAATAGTGGGCTGCAGCCACTGTCCCCTTTGTGTCTACTGGATTCCTGGGCCCTGAGAGGAGGTACATCAGGCACAGGGATTAGGAGCACAAAGTAGTGAATTCACCACCATGTCAAATCTAGGGATTTTACTTATGGGCTGTTCTGGGCCCCAGTCACATTTCTGTTGGTCAGAGATGGAGCCCTGAAGGAAACCTTTGGTCTGAGGTCTGCAGGAAGCCTCAGTTTTACAGCTACTTTGGAAACCAGGACTGTCTTCTGAGAATTAAGCTTTTAAAAAGCTTAGTTCCCCTGCTGACAGAAAGCAGTGTATGTGTGAAATATACACAAGTCACTTACAAGACTAAATCATAATATCGTATGTTACTGTTGAGGCCATCAATTGCTTTCATGTCTTCCGGAGTCAATTCAAAGTCAAGAACCTGGAATAAAGGAAGAATCACAATGACTTCTCTCCCAGGAGCTGGCCTCCCCCTGGGGACTGGAGGACTTTCCAGCTGGATGGAGACAAGACGAGGAGACAGGGAAGCCATGTCTGTCTTCAGCTTCCAGGTGGGACCCTCTGCAGAGTTCTCACTTCTCCTTTCTATACCCTCTACTTTCCTGCTCCAGTTCTCAGACAGACACACACACATAGGTTGCAAGGCATCAATCCCTTATCTTTCTATGTGAATTTCTTTTGACAGAAGACAAGCAAACAAAAATCAACTTTTTTGCAAACAAAGGCACTGTTGGACAACCTGGACAAAATACGTGCACTTGACCGAACACTAGACTGTTTTTTCCTTCTCAACATCCCCTAAAATATGACACAGCATAGAGCTTAAACAAGTATGGAAACGAGGATCCCCTGTGAAAACCTAATCAAGAATCTGATAACAAACTTACTCATTACCTATGAATAAATCTAAGGTGTTGATTATGTCTATGTCTCTGTGAGAAAGTTGTGAAATGCATTAAAAATATTAAAGGATACTTAAATAATTAGAAATGCATATCATAGTCACAAAATGGAAATGTCAGTTTTGTATAGAAATCAGTTTTCTCCAAAGTGAGAAGTGCAATGTGAACCAAAGTCTTAAATAGTTATTCGTTTGTGAAAGTTGGTAGATTGGTACTAAAATTTATGTAAAAGAACAGCTAGTCAAGAGCAGTGAAGACATACTTAAAGGAAAAAAAAATAATGTTATTTAAAGTAAGATTATTTTCCACTATAATAAAGTAGTACAGAGAAGTAAATAGTTAAATAGAACAGAGAGAGGCCAGAAATGTACTTATGGACATTTGATACATGACAGAGTTGACAGTGAAAATCTGTGGGAAAATATGGACAGATTTCTGTTTGACTATATGTATATACCTTTTCATGTCATATTCAAAAATCAGTTTAAGTGTGTTACAGATTGAGATTTGAGTGGAAACAAAAAGCCAGTTTATCAGGGAACATTTCCCTTACCCTTGACTCAGTTTGACCTGTAACTTCCACTGGACAGTGATATTTCCCAGAAGTGGTGAGTCAGATCTGAGCCCAGACGGGAAGAGGATTTTTCCCCACTCACTTACTGGGGTTAATAACGCTGTGATGAGATAAAGACCAAGTAGATTGACAACAGTCTAGCCAAATATATATGAAAAAATATACAGAGAAGCATGCAGTCTCCTGTGACAATAGCCTCATCCACCTGCTAAAGCAGAACTGCTGAGCTGCTCTGCACTGAACTACAAATGCCCAAAAGAGCTCAGCCAAAAACACAACAGCTTAGCTGAGTGCAGGTTGGTTGTGAAACCACAGAATCAAGAGATGCATAAACGATCTCTGCCTTGAACCCCTAAATGGGGGAGATTTCCTGTACAGCTATGGCTAATTATATAATATAAAAATAAAAAGACGTACAATCTAATAAAACTGTACAAAATCATGAATAGGAACTTTACAAAGGCAGAAACTGAAATGCATGAAAATGAAACTACATTAATATTCAGAGAAGTGTAAAATAAAACCATGATGAATTGGTTCAGGATGACTGCTCTCACTCGCGTGTCCCCAAATTCACATGTTGTTAACCTTACCCCCACTGTGATGGTGCTAGAAATGGAGCTTTTGAGGGGTGATTAGATCATGATAGTGGAGTGTTTACGAACGAGAGTTGAACAGTATCATATTCATATAAGAGACTTGAGAGAGCTCTGTTGCCCCCTCCACCGTGTTAAGACACAAGGAGAAGCCTGTGACCTGGAGGAGAGCCCTCACCTGATCACCCAGGCACCCTGACTCCAGTCTTTCAGCTTTAGAACCATGAGGAATAAATTTCAATTTTTTTTCTAAGCCACTCAATCTGTAGTATTTTGTTAGAGCGGCCTAAACAGTTTAAGAAAATCACATAATGAAATTTTGTCAATTAAAAACAAAGAAAATAAGATGTCATTTGCACGAAGTGACAGAATAAGTTGCAGATGTAATGTTGGATCTAAAATCTCTATTTTCTGTCCAACCTTAACCCTCTCTAGCCACGCCACCTCTCCTGTTGCCACATCAGGAGGAGAAAACCACTGGAAATACACACAAGGCATTCATGCACAGGAAAGAACAGGTAACTCATTTTGATTCAAAAATAGTCTGACAGCTGGACAAAAATGACCCTTGTGAAGGATATTCCTTAGGAGCCCTCTGCCTACAGCCCCACTCATCACCTGCATGTTCTCTTTGATCCTCTTCCTGTTGTAACTCTTGGCTAGAACCACAACCCCACGTTGTATCTGGTAGCGAAGGGCAACCAGAGCTGGGGTTTGCTTGTGCTTTTTGGCAATGGCACAAAGAACCGGGTCCTCCAAAAGAATAGGGTAGTTCGGGTTCACCCTGGAAAGAAATTAAGAAATCCTGAGGAGCTGAGAGTGAGTACTCAGTTTCTAAGAGGCTTCTCAAACAGAACAAGTAGGTCCACTCTAGACCAGTGCTTCTCAAAGTGTGGTCCAGGGACCAGCAGCATCAGTTTCACCTGGAGTCTTGTTAGAAATACAAACCCCATGGCTTAACTGCAGACAAACTGAATCAGAAACTTGACTCTGTCACCTCCTAATCTGTGTTTACAAGGCTCTCCTGGTCACCTGGGTGTATGCTGAGTTGAGATCACAGCTTCCACAGCTGTGGTTTTGTTCTTGTACATCTCAGGGGTTGTTTTTCCTCTCCAATCATAGCCCCAAAGTACAAGAGCATAAAAGGAGAAGGAAAAGACTGGGATACTTTTTAGCTTAACTTTCTCAATATTGATAAAAATTGAGTAGTCTCATAGTAACTATTCTTTTCATCACTATTTACAGTGTGCAGTACTTGTACAGATGTTTACAAAAATGGTTCAAATTGTAATTTTTTTTGATCATCATTGACCTGTTAGGTTTATTATCCTGACTTTAGACATAAGGTAAGGGAAGCTCAGAGAGTCTTTTACTAGCAATGTGTTCATTAGTTAATAAGTAAGTGAATCACGACTTAAGCTTATGTCTTAGATCTCAACTGGGGGATTATATATAGATTTTAATGCAGTCACTTGTTATTGATTAATCTACAAAAAGACACATATAATGTGAAAAATAATTGGCTGAGTGATGAGAAGACAAAAGAGAAGGCTCTTTCGTTTCCTCTCTCTACCCCCTGCCAGTTGAGAGCACTGAGTACAACATAACAAAACATATTCCATGAAAAATTGAATTTTAGGTAAACTCTCTGTTATCTTCATTAGCATTCCTTACCAATTTTTCAATCGTTGGGATCCCAGAGCACCATAGGCAACAAGAACAATATCATGTGACTTGCAGAACTCCAACAGTTTGTTCTGATTGAGATAAGGGTGACATTCCACCTATAGAATGTGAACATAGAAGAGTGTCAGGTTATATAGGAAGGTGATATCAACATGACAGAGAAAGGCAAAAAGTTTAAAACATCTAAAGAAAAACTAAACTATGGAACACTAAATTGGAACTGAAAATATCAATATCAAGTAATTTTTTAAAGAAATACATATTATATCTCTATTCCCCAAAACAGAAAAAGTAACATTCCTGAGAACAAACAACCCTAGGGACCAGAACTCAGTTACTAAATACACTACCAGGGGACACACCTAACTCCAGATCTGGGACAAGAAAACAACTGTTTGAGTCTGGTACATCAAGTCTTGCAAAATGCAAGAATTTGCTCCACGATACATGTCTGCAGGACAAAAGAACCAGATTGATGGGTTCCCATGGTAACATCTGAGTAGATTTTAACACCAAAGGGAATCATGAATGAGAGCAAATGTAGCACACAAAGTCAACAAAAATCCCTGAGAGAGAGAGAAAAAGAGCAAAAATGTTTCCCTCTACGGATGATTATTATGAAAACTTTCTCAGAAACTGACAGTTAAAGGGAAGAAGGGAAGTTTTCACCTTGCCTTATAGGAATAGGTGTATTTTATCCTGACTTAATGAGGGAATTCTATTTTTACAATAAAGTGTCAGGTAAGAAGATTAAAAAGTGCTTACATTGAAAATATTGAAAACTGTCCCAATGAAATAATTAATTCAGGTGAACATTACTGATGGATTTTCAACCATTATATGAAAATTTGGGGGAAAATGAACTTCCTCTGATGACAGTTATTATCTAGTAGATGATTAGGTAATTTCAACATGGGATATACGCATTTCCAAATTAAAAATCTAGCTGCCAGTAACTTTACTAGGAGAACAAAAATGCCATCATCACAGTGGGACAGCCGATGATCATGTGCTTCCTACTGGGTGCCAATTGAGGGGCACAGCATGCAAAGGACACAGTCCCAAAATGTATAAATTTATGAGCATGAGTAAGGAGTTCAGATCTATCTGTTTACAGGAATTGAGAAGCAAATTAATAATACAAGATGATAGTCTGATAAATCTATTATATTTGTTGAAAAACCGTTTGGATATCATGGATAAAAAATATAATTGAATGACCATGACAGGTTAAAAGAGTTTGATATACATGACTCAAAGTGACATGTGAGCCACAATGAGATCAGTTCCACCTAATATTACACATGTAAATATATATATATATATACACACACACCCACATACACATTTGCCAATGTGGCAAAATGTGAAACATTTTGCATACAAGAGGGAAAATATGGGTGTCCTTGATCGTACCCTTAACTTTTCTAATATCTGAAAATTTTCACAATGAAAACTTGGAGGCAAAATTAATGCTAAAGTCACAATAGTTTTGAAGCATTTTTAGTTTAGAATATTGATTATACATATATGCTGTGCTGTGCTTAGCTGTTCAGTCATGTCCAACTCCTTGCGACCCCATGGACTGTAACTTGCCAGGATCCTCTGTCCATGGGGATTCTCCAGACAAGAATACTGGAGTGGGTTTCCATGCCCTCCTCCAAGGGTTCTTCCCAACCCAGGGATCAAACCTGGGTCTCCCACATTGCAGGCAGATTCTTTACCATCTGAGCCACTAGGGAAGCCCAAGAATATTGGAGTGAGTAGCCTATCCCCTTTTCCAAGGGATCTTTCCTATCCAGGAATCAAACCAGTGTCTCCTGCTTTGCCAGGAGGATTCTTTACCAACTGAGCTACTAGGGAAACTAGTATATATATATATATATATATATATATATATATATACACACGTTTCCTGAGTTTTACAAGCTACATTTTCTGTAGAAGACTCTTACTCCTTGACTTCAAGTTGTATCTTATAGACACTGTTGTTGTTATTTAGTCATTAAGTCATGTTTGATTCCTTAGTGGCCCCATGGACTTCCCAGGCAAGAATACTGGAGTGGGTTGCCATTTCCTTCTCCAGGGCATATTACTAACCCAGGGATTGAACCACAGTCTCCTGCGTTGGCAGGCAGATTCTTTACAGTGCACCACCAGGGGAGCTTGTGGACATTACTTTATATGAAATACAACAGTTGCAGAAAGACAGATGTTAATACCTAAATTGGTCAAACTCACAGAATTAAAGAGTAATGTGATGGTCACCATGGGGAGGTGGGGGGGGGGAGTAGGGAGAGATCAGTATTTCTTATTCATAGGTACAAAGTCTCAATTATACAAGATGAATAAATTCTAGAGACTTACTGTACAGCTTTATCCCTATGCTTAAAATTATTGTATTATACAATACAATACAATGAGGTTAAAGTACATTGTATTGTGCAGTGTTATATACTTAAAATGTTTTTAAATGAATCATATTAACTTTTCTTACAGCAATAAAGTAAAAATATAACAAAAATATATGAGTACAGAATCAAACAAAGAAAAAAGTATTTAAACAGTTAATTTTATGATAGACATCAATGGGAGAAAAAGATCAAGACTGAGTAAATCACAGGGTGTGCTCTAGTTCCTGACTATTTCATCTACTGTTAGTATTGCTGTAAGATGCTGATTTCACTCTATAACCTGAATGATTTTCATAACCTCCAGTAAATTTTTCTGTACTATGTTTCCTGTTGAAGACCTGTAAGCACAGAGACACTAAGACTAAGGATTTGGGTATCCAAACCCCACACAAACTCTTAACACTTGTCTCAGCTGATTTATCTCTATTTACTTCCTATTCTATGTTTTAATGGTCTTTCTTCTGTACACAGTTCCCTCTGAGGCACTTTTACCATCTAATTTCTGGAGATCCTTTCAGCTCAGGGAAACACCTCCTCCCTCTAAGTTCTGGGGGACTAGTCTAACCCCCTTCACCTCCAGTACCTTCCCTCAGTGCTCACCACACTTTAGCAGGAAGCCATCCCCAGATTTTCCACCCAGACTTTATCAGACAGAGATACCTTTTTGGGTTCTATTCACACCATCCAGACAGAGGCTCTGATCTCTAGAATCACCTGTCCACAAAGGTTGGATGAACATGAGGGGAGGACAGACAGACATCAGGCCAAGAAGGAGGTTCTGAAGAGCAGGAGGGAGAGGAGACTCACCTGGTTGCAGACAGGCTTGTACTTGAGCCCCGGCTTGTTCAGGATCTTCTCCAGCTGCTTGTGGTTGAAGTTGGACACCCCGATGGACTTGGTCAGCCCTGCATCTTTACATGTCTCCAGGGCCTGGGGAACGGGGGTGGTGAGCAGTCATTTCAAATGAGTGATAGATCAAGAATAAATGCTCAAAAAAAAAATCTGTAAAAAATGTCTCACGTCAAGAATTGACATTGATTTTAAGAAAGAAAAAAGGAGAAGAAGGTCATGACACAAGAAGAAGAATTAACCATCTCCTCCTTAGAAAACCCTGGAGAAGACATATCACATGGAAGGAAATAGATGCCTGGCTTCACCATCCCAGATTCTGTCCTTTCCTGTGAACATTTCAGTAATGGTTTTCTCCCCACAACCCCAACATCCCAGTCCTTAGATTCATGAACTACTGAGTTTGATAGTCCACAGTCCATTCTCACAGGTAGAAGAAAGAAAGGAGGTTCCCAGTCTCCTGGCTCCTCCCCTGGTTTTCTCCTTCCTGGACTCACCTCCCATGTGCGGCAGAAATCTACAGAGTCATATATCACTTTTCCATTTTCATCTTTTGGAAAAAGCTCCTCTCCTGGCTGGAATAGAAGCAGTAATTTTAGAGATGTCACAAAATAATTTCTCCATTTAGTCAGCCTGCCAGGCACATCTAGGACCAGGACATTAACCTCCATAAGATAGGTTTACAACATTCCAGATCTCTTACACTTACCATATGTTTTAATAAATAGAATTTTCCTAGGTCCTAAAGGGGACTCATTGTTACTGATGTAAAGAATGGCAATGTTACATGGCTTTATTTCAAGAATAAAAATTGCAATCTTGACTTAGATGTGATAGAGTTTCTTTTCTCTCTGAGCATCTGATAGCCCTAGGGCAGACACATGAACCAACAAGACTTTCCTTAGGTTGATATGGGATGTGAAAGATCCAGACATGCTCTCAAATGTTCATGACCATAAGCCTTAAACAAATCAAGGTTAATTTACCACTGATGGAAAATATTGATATAAAAATAAAGCCAACCAAGAGTAATGGAAAGTTAAGTGGTAGGGGGAGAAAGGAGACACTTCTGAAGAGTACTGCAAATCCTTAAATCTTCCATACCTGGGCCTTGCCATCTACATAAACCAATAAAATCTTCTGCATAGGATGACTTGGCTTGAGTTGATTTCTGCAACTTAAAATCAACCTAGAACTCTGGGACAATCTAGAAGGATAGGTTGGGGAGGGAGGTGGGAGGGGGGTTCAGAATGGGAGGGACACATGTATACCTTTGGCCTATTCATGTTTATGTATGACAAAACCATCACAATATTGTAAAATAATTAACCTCCAATTAAAATAAATAAATATTTTTTTAAAAAGCAGTTCTAAGTAATACAGTTCTTAATGACTAAGTGCAGTCCACAGACCTCATCATGAAGACAGGCAACAGTGTAGGCAAAGTCTCCTAAATCCCAATAAAGGTTTAGACTCATCTAGAGAGGGCACCATCAAAACTGCTCAACTTGAAAGGGTGAAAGATGAGATAAACTCATCTTGTTCAAGTGTAAGGCAGTGCCATGCTCACCACAGCTGCACCAAACTCTGTGTTCTTAAAATCCCCAAGGGACTCAAGAGTCATACTCAGTACTGTGTACAGAACTCATCTATTTCTATTCCCTCAAGTTTTTGAGCAGAGAACATGAGATTGTTGAGCTTTTTTCTCTGGGAGGAATGACAAATTAAAAATTTAAAAAAACTCAATAAAAAGATAATCATAAATGATTGTTTGGGAATTCTACTCTCGTGAAGAGTGTATCTATCCTACTATGAAAAATCTGAAGTCAACCATCCATGCAGGTTGATAGACATTCTGACACAAGAATTAAAATAGTTGTAATCATACAAATTGCCAACCTTCAGAGCCAGTGGAAAATGAATAATGTAGAGATCGACATAGTCCAGTTGAAGATTTTTCAGTGACTTTTCCAAGGCTGGTCGGACCAACTCTGGTTGAAGGAAAGTGGACCAAAGCTGCAGAGATTAAAGAAAGGGAGCTGCATGAAATTAACATTGTAGGTAACTTTGTTTTTATGTTTTCATCTAAAAATCAGAGATTTTTCCTGATTAGAAATGGATGATCACAGAGGAAAACCACCCTGTTTCTTTTTCAGTTCCATTTTTTATCTAACCAACCCATGTAAACTTTGTTATTTGATGGAATTTATCACTAGTACATAATTCACAATGGAAGAAAATGATCCAAGAAATAAAAAGTATTATCAAATAGCTAATAAAGCCATCATCTGAATTACGTTTAATAAAGTTTAAAAGCAGTTCACAAAGTCAATCTAATTCTATTAAATAATCAGTCCTCTTAGGAGTAATTAGAATCTTTTTGTTTATGTAACTTTAGGAAGTGTTTTGAACATATTATGTGCAGAACATAATTCAAGACATTTGGTTAGATCTTACATAATAAAAAACAGTGTCTCCTATTTCCACCTCTTAGATGGAAGTAAGAACTGAGATTTAGAATTTGAAGAAAATTTAGAAAGTTCCCTAGATGATAAGAAAAGCTATAATCTAATTATTTCTGTCTGATTCATTAGCCCATACTAAACCACACTGCTCTGGTCTAGGCTCAGAAAAATAAAGTGACTTTAATTTAAAATTAAAATTTGAACCAATGATGAGAAAGCCATCATCACTCTCACTTTCTTTTTGGATACCAGATTTAATACACAAATATGTGTGAAAAAAGTTGTACCAATAAGCAGTGTTCACCAACCAGCTATTGATCTGACTACATAATTATTACCTGCACACCATGACTTGCATACATGTGCACACACAAACACACAGCACCTTTGAAGTGTAGAATATATCTTCTCTCTTCACAGTGCCATCTGCAATCTTGCTCCGAATGGCTTGTCCAACTTGTCCTTCATTTTGGTACAAATGAGCACAGTCAATATGGCGAAACCCAACCTCTATAGCCAATTGGGTGACCTCCAGAGCTTCACTCTTAGGAACCTACATAAGCAACAAAGGTGGTAGTTGAATATTTACATGATAAAGAAACTGCTGATGTACAAGCTTTGATTTTTCCCAAGAAAAAGAAACAAACAAAAGCTTTAATGTTTCTTTGTGCTTTTGTTAGTTCTGCATGTGTGGTGTTGAACCCATGATGGTTTACCTGAAATTTCCTGTAAAGTTATTAAATAAATACCCAGGAAGTCTTCAATCCCAGGTGATCAGTGGTTGATCAAAGGCATCAGAGGACCCCAAAGGCCACCTCCAGGTTCAGTGATGTGCTGGAGGAACTCATAAAAGTGAAAAAAGTGAACGTGTTAGTTGTTCAGTTGTGTCCAACTCTTTGCGACTTCATGCATGGACTGTAGTCCACTAGGCTCCTCTGTCAATGGAACTCTCCAGGCAAGGAAGATCCCCTTCTCCAGGGGATCTTCCTGACACAGGGATCAAACCTGTGTCTCAAGTGATTCTTTACCATCTGAGCCATGCATATTATTTATACAGTGAGATATTTTAAGCAAAGTCAATAAGGGTAAAGGTTCATGATACAAAGCAACAAGAAACAAGGTGAAATCTTCTAAGAGTGCTCTACCAATGTAGTCATGCAGAATACACAAAATAAAAACTATACCTATTCAAAGTGTACTAAGTGATTTTTTTTAAATGCCTATCCTGGTGGCTCAGATGGGAAAGAATTCGCCTGCAATGCAGGAGATGTGGGTTTGATCTCTGGGTCAGGAACATCCCTTAGAGAAGGGGATGGCAACCCACTCCAGTATTTGTGTCTGGAAAATCCTATGGAGAGAGGAGCCTAGCAGGTTATAGTCCTTGGGTTCACAAAGAGTTGGACACAACTGATGGACTACCACTTTTGATTTCTTTCCCTGTATGATGAATATCACAACCAAGCTTGTTAACAGTTCCATCACCTCACATAGTTAACTTTTGTTTGTGAGACCTTTAAGGTCTACCCTCTTAGCAAATCTCAAGAATATAACCCATTATTATTAACAGTAGCCACTGTGTTGTACATCAGGTCTCCAGACTTATTTATCTTACAATTGAAGGCCTTTGCCATTTGACCAGCATCTTTCCATTTTCCCCAACTTTATCCCCAGCTCCTGGTCACTGTGATTCTACTCTCTGCTTCTATGAGTTCAACTTTTTTTAATAGATCGTACTCAGAGAGAGATCATGCAGTGTTTGTTCTTTATGTCTGACTTATTTTACTCAGCTTAATGTTATCTAAGTTCATCCATGTGGTTGCAAATGATGGATAATTTCTTTTATAAGCCTGAATAATATTTTGCTTCTTTTTATGTGACTTGTAATCTTTTCTTTTTCAAGGAGGTGCTTGTCTAACTTCCATCTGTTGGGTCTGGGTCTGGCTTTCCTTAAATGCAGGGTCATTCAGGGATGTGCTGAGGAATGAATTAGTGAGCTTCAGTAATAGCTGAACCCTTCCCTCTCCTCATCCTAGTTTGCACTACAAAGTCCTGACTTCTGTCTTCAAAATTTCTCTGAATATTTCCTTCTGTTTCATACATAAAAGAAGTGATATTCAAAGTTTAATGGCCAGCCCCTTGTCATACAACTATTCAATACATATTCTAAAGACAAGATGGGTAGCAAATTTTCTGGATTCCAGTCTAGTAAATTATCCTCTTTGTCCCTCTTACACTCAAGCACTGAAGACCATAGTTAGATAAAAATATATTACAAAAGCCTTTGAAACCTTTCCCTGTAAGGCTATAGCTTGTCTCCTCAAATGGCACTGAACTTTCCATTAGAAGTTTCCACACAAAAACAGAAGTACAGGGCAAAACACAGTTGAAGTGTTTCTTCCCTGTGACCTAGTAGGTATTCCACAGTAGAAAAGCAATTTTCTCCCATTAGTTTTCAGTCACTTCATCT